TTCCTTTTTCCTTAAAACTTTATAATTTTAATCGGGATTTCTTCTAAGTATCTCCAAGCCTTTAATTTACATTGTCCTTCTCTGCGTCTTTTCTATTTGATGTATCCTTTTTCAGATGGGGTGACCAAAACTGAACACAGAATTCAAAAGGGAACACACATTCAAGGTGAGGGAAAATCACTAGTTTTCTATAAGGCATAATAATTTTGGATTTGTTTGTCCTTTATTTTGCTCCCACTATTAAGATATTTTTCCTGAGCTGTCCATAAAGTTGTCTACCATTTTTATCCATCGGGAAATTGGTTAACTTACGGGTATTTCATGAATGACTAATTTCTATTAACTCTTAGAGGTGTTACTATACGTGATGCATGCTCTACTGCCTGTCACTGTGTTGATCTAATGGAATATTTGAAAAGTCTTCTGAAGGCCACCGCAAATGCTCGAGAGAAGCAACTGTTCTGTGGCTATCTCATCATTTTGAAAGCTGTGCGTGGCTCATTCCCGTTGCATCCCTCAGTTGATTGAAGGGTGCTTGTGTGAAGTCTTGCGAGCCTTTCACAAGGGTTGGCACTCCATGCTCCTAACAGAGCCTGGGAGGTGAAGAAACAGAGCTGTCTGAGGAGACTTAATGTTTCTGTGCCCATCACTATCTCGCTACTTGGCTGTATCTTATCTTTCTCTAGGGTCCCCGTTTCTCTAGAAGATGAGTTACATATCCAAATTCTATAAAGTATGCACTTGTGCTGTGCTAGTAATTGTAGTGCGGAATGGGTTGGTTCTCAGGTTTTGGGGCCTGTGTGGACTCCAGTCACTCTTGCACGCTGGATTCATTATGCGAGTGCTCTTCATCTCTCAGGAAGACTTTAAACAGCTCATTTAAAGAATGAAAAAAAGAAAAATATACCCTCTTGGCAATTTCTGTGTGTTATTAGTGACTGTAGTTAGCAGGGTGTTTATCCAGCATATGAATTTTTACATGTTGTTGCAATGGACTAGTGGTAAAGAGGGGTAATAACGTTTAGTTTGAGGGGTACAAATGTCACATTAGATGCTCAGATAAAAAAGGTGGTCTGCATTCATCCACTGTATAAATATGTAGGAATCAAAATTATGTAGAGCTAGTATTAATATTGTTGTTTATGTTTTAAGTCTGCAGAAAGCTACAATACTTGCTCAACCCTATCTGTGAATTTGAAGGGAATTTAATTAGGAATAAAGTAGCTGAAGTGGCTAAATCTATGCTGCTATGTATGCTATGTGAAGCTGCTGCTACATGAAAGATACCTCGACTTTTGTTTGTTTTTGGTTTCTGCTTCTGGTATTTTTGCTTGTTTGGTTTTTTCCATAAGTTTCTGGCTCTTGTTGATTTTAGCCTTGGGTTAGAAAAAGAGTCAGTGAATTGCTGCTGGGTGGCTTGTCAATACGGCCACCCATGGCAGCTTGATGGTGACCCCTGGGCGGAAGCAGTGGGAGGAAGGAGAGCTCAGAGCTGTCCTGCCAGCTCCCCAGAAGCAGTAGCCGTGGGGCAAGGATGGCTGTGGTGCCTGGGCCCAGCCTGGCTGCTCTGGACGGGGCTCCAGGCTTTGGTCTCGCAAGGAATGGCCTAGGTGCAACAGGAGGAGCGCAAGCCAGTGGGGGTGGCTGTTTCTGCACCCTTCCTGGGGTTGATAATGGCAGGTCTTAGAGAAAAGATAAATGGTCCCTGGTGTACTGTCAGCAGAGAAATACAACTAAAACTCCTTGCTGTCACCTTGTGAAGCCAGGGTCATGTTATGAAGCTTCCTCATCTTTATGCTGGCCAGCAGAACAAACTGCAGTATCAGTTTTCTTACAAGTTCTTACTGCTTCTCATGGGAAGTTCTCTTACAAAAATACTGAAAATGCATGGGTCATGGTTTGTGCTCTAATGAGCAGAAATGAGGCTAAGCAAGAGGCCGAAGCTAATGTTCATTTGCATCTTTCATCTTTTTAAGTATTTCCACTTGTTGCAGACATCTGCTGCAACAGAGCCAAATCAAGCTGTAATGTCAAATGAGAAAACATTTTTTTGGTGTGTTAATCTAGGAGTTGTTACTTAATAAGGTAAGGTGAATCTTTCCAGCCTAGTTGTGGTGCATTTAAATTCTAGATAAAGTTTCCTGTTACTTCAGTGCTTTTTATTTATGTAAATGCATCCATAAGAGAAAAATGGATACTAGTTTGCTGTAAAATTTTACATTTAATGTCATTTAAGTACTTGATTGGGTACCCTTAATAAAAAACTACAGGAAGTTCTTATCATACTGATATCCTAGGATAAGAAGGTCCAAATGCTCTTTAAGCTGGGGACTGTGGTAGCTTCTGATGAATTGGGTATCTTGTCATTTGCTGCAGCTATCCAGTGGCGGTGCACATCGTCTTTAGAGAACTCCTGATTTATGGTCCTTGAGTGAGCCGATGTTAAGTTGATTTTTACTAGGATACCAAACACCCTTAAAATCTGTGATTGTAGTTAGAAAAGATAGAATTTTGCTCTTAAAATGCTTATAAATATGTTGACTTGTATGAAGAAAGAATTGTGGATCATCTAAAATATTTTGAAGGATGACACTCCCTTCTAACTTCTTCTTCCCCCTTGCCAAACTAGATGTTAACCAAAAGATAAAATTCATATTAAAAGCGCCTTCTGAGCATAATATTAACAAACCATTTCTCTTTGCAAAGTATTTGAGCTGGTAAAAACAAAGAAAATGGGTAAAAACTCTCCTATGTCTTTTGCTGGGACAGCTATGCCATTTCAATGGGCAGTAGTATAATAGAAGGTGTTGAATCTGAAAAGCAACTATTTTTAAATACCCATGCAGTAAGAGCTTTCTCACTCTCTTCCCTGCTTTAAGCTAGTCTGAATTTGCTTTTGTTCTTCGTGCTCGAGTGATACGTTTCAGAGCCCTTTCTGGGAAGGCCTTTACTTCCCGAGCGCTTATCGGCAGCAGTTTAGTTGCTGGGAAGCGAAGAACTATGTTCACTTTTCATTATGTCTCATTCTTTAGATTTGTTAACGTTTTTATTGGTATCTCTTGAAAGACTTGGTACTCTTGAAAGACTAAGATTGTTGTATCTTGTCCCTTTAGTAAAAACTTTATTTCTTTTTCTTGATTTTTTTAATCTCTACTTTTCTAACCTTAGGATTGCAAATAAAGGAAGGTTATCTCTCCTGAAGGCGAGAGGCAGACTGAGTGACTGTGGCTATTTTTGTACAATGCACATATTAAGTGTGGAGTAAATGCAAGAGTTTTTTTAAGTGCTTATTTTAGCAGATGCATTTGGTAAAGCCCTTATATCCATCAACTCTGTATATATTCGTTAAGAATTCAGAGTTGTAACATAATACAACAAAGGCAGCATATTTCAGCAGAGATCTCTTGCAACGCAGCCTAGAGGAGGAATCCATCCAGTAGGGGAGCACAGACATTTACTGCTATTTCTAGTCTTGTGGCATGTGGATATGCTGAATCCATTTCTCAGATAACAAAACTATCTAATACTTACTGCAGTGCCATTATCCTATATGACAAAAATATGCACATTTGGTGTCAAAGTTGATTGTAATGAATACCAACTCTCCCATCTGAGCAAAGTCTGACAGGGGTTTTTTTTCCCCTGTAACAAAAGCCAGTATAATTCCAGTGGTCAAACGTGGGGCAGAATTTCCAGAGTCTTTCCCTGGGCAGGGAACATATCCTGGGAGTCATGTTGAGCAGTTCTAAAGCTATTGCACCAAGAACTTCAGAGCCAGAGGAGGTAGATATGTCAACACATGGATTCTACCAACTACTGCCCTTTTTTGAGTCTGTAGCTATGTAAAAAGTGAAGAAGATGCTTTAGCTCTTATGTGTTACTGCAAAGTAACTTGAAAATAAGAATTTGTTCAGGATGGCAGGCCGTTTCTGTAAATTAAATAGTATTTTGATAAAGGTAAATGTCAGGGGACAAGAAAAGCAGGTATTGATTTATAGATCTTTGCTATTTAGAGGTTAAGTGTAGAATGCTAAAACAATGCACCAATGTGTGCTAAGGTGGGTGATAAGTTGTATTTGTTTGTCACTGCAAAATTATGTGGTCAGTCGAGTGCTACTGTTCTGCCAGCTGTGATAAAACCAAGCATGTTAGTTTAAGCCTCCACTGTACTGTTCTTTTTGGTTTTTTTACTTGTTAAGCCACTATCAGATTGTCTGTTTTAAAACAATCACATTATGATGTGATGCTTTAAATAATATTTAGTGTCTTGGTCTTCCTTCTGTATTACCATGCCTTTTTTCATTATAATTGAAGTGGGAGAGAAGTTCTAAAACAAAAAATGAAAATAAAGCTCCATGATATCTATGCAATACTTCAGTTTTGCTCTTTGAGAACAAAAATGCCAGAAGGCCCTTTAGCAGTTGTGTTTATATGTGGGTTTTTTACTTGCTTTCGGAAGAAATTAAAACGTAATTTATTAAATCTGTGAAAAATAAGACCTAGTCTCTAGTGAAACTATTGCATTTTTCTAAAAAAGTGATTTAAAAATTGATTATGTTAGGTGATTTGAATATGTATCTGGTTTGCAGTTATGTAATTTGGTAATTTAAGTAACTTTGAACATAATTGTCTAGGTTGAAAATGTGAAAGGGTATTTTCAGATATCTTTGCAAATAAATCATCCTATTCTGTTTAGAGTGTAGTTCTTAGAAGCATATGACACTGAGCAGAAAGAGTGATTGAGGTCATACCAGAGGAAAAGCAAAAAGTTGAGCTACTAACTATTCAGGCAGATGATTTACTTTCATATATGTAGCAAAATGTCTGAGTCACAAAATCTTACCATGTTAATCTAGACAAAGAAAAATGCTGTTCCTGAAGTTGCATTTCTTCATGAAGTAAATAGCTTGTGTTTAAAACCAATGTTTTTGTCATCCTGGATTGTTGAATTACTTTTTCTTCCTAAGGGAAAAACATCAGTAACTCCATTTAATTTGCAGAGCACCGGAGATTATACTGGGATTGCCGTTTTGTGAAGCCATAGACATGTGGTCGTTGGGGTGTGTGATTGCGGAGCTGTTTCTCGGATGGCCACTGTACCCAGGAGCACTGGAATATGACCAGGTAGAAGATTAATTTCACAAGTGTGTGCACACTTTCTGCAGTGTACGCATTTCATTAAAGATCATGAAATTCAGGTGGTGTCATGCTGCTAATATCCTCTTTTAAGGAATGTTTTTTCAGTCTATTGAAACTTACCCTTAATGATTGTCCTAGAAATATAAATCTTATTTCTAGAGCAGAACTGTATAGTGTTGCTTTTTAAGTTAAATTTCAATAGAAGTTATTCTTTTATCTTCCGAAATAAATGTTGGCATTGAAACTGCTTTTTCTCGGGGAATCTGAAATCTATGGCTACCATCATTGCAACTTTTTGAACTGCTGTGTAGTGGGTTAACTCTGGGTTCCCTGTTCGTGTGTCAGGATTAGTTGTCATCTGAACAATTCTGTTGCTTTCTGGAAATCCAGTGTAGCTCAGAGCTTTGAGGGCTTTTTCTTTGTGGTGAGGAGTAAGAATCAGCAGCTGTATTAATACTGTATATATGCAATGATAAAACTTGAAGCTGTGCAGAGAGAGGAGTCTATCATTTTCTAGCCTAGTGTAGAAATCTGGAAGGATCAGTGTCATGACATTCCTTGTGCTTTTGGTACTGGAAAGTAGTGAAGACTTGTGAAAATTGTGGTCGTAATGGCACTGTCCTATTACTGATTTCCACATTTGATTCAGCATCCCGTGTAGAGGCTCTTCCTCCAGCATACTGCGTGTTATTCAAATCTCCATTTCAGCTTGTGGGCTTCTGGTTCTCAGTGCTTGAGCAGACTTAAAGTAAAATTCATATATTTTTAGAGGACTTTTGTGACAAGTGCTCTCACGGAATATACTGCTGCTGTGTTGGTATCAGTCATGTGCTGTATTTCTGCTTCCTTCATTTGCACAGAGTTTGGTGTTTAATAGGTAGGAAGTGAGCTATGAGGAAAATACATGTTGATGTCTTGGCTAATAGTTAGAAGACCTTTGTGCAATGCAATTCTTCTTAATATGGAGAGTAAAAGAGAAAAGTTACCTTCACCAGTACTGTAATTCACCTTGTTTTGTAAGGAAGAAGGCATTTATTCTGGAAACTTTCAGGCCAGACTAGAGGAAAAGGCCTGGAAATTGAGAAAGGACTAAAATATGTAGTTTGCAGAATCACTTCCACTTTTTACCCTGTACTTCTGTGAACAGTTCCTTATCTTTGGACCCCAATCTGCAGGGTAGGTAATCGTGGCCCCTGGATGTGAACTGTGGCCCTGGGCCGTGTTAGCAGTGACCCCTTATGCAGGGGTTGGAACTGTGGAAGATCCTGCCAGTGTCTGGATTCTTCCTTCAAATTAACTTGAGATTCTTGCTGCTGGAAGCAGCCCAGAGTGTGGCAACTAGAGTGCATAGCTGCAAGCTGTAGATTTCTCTTAGATGTGTACTGTGCTCTGTAACAAAGCCTAAAGACCTGATTATGGCAAACTTTGAGAACACAGAATGCTGCTTTGAAACCAAAGTTAGCCCTTCATTCCCTCTGCTCCTTGGCAGCCTTCTTGTTCTCTGCTGAACTGTGGCATGTGCAGGGAGTAGAGCACTTGCCTCCTGATGGGAATGCTTTCTGTCCCGCATCTATCATCACCCTGCCTGCCCTGAGTTTTCAGGGATACCACTCATCTGTGGTACTTGTTGGCCGAGTGGGCTGTCCTCCTTCCAGCTTTAGGCATTGAGGTGTCTTTGACAGCTGCTTCCAGTCACTTGTTTCATCTTCTTTGTAGGTCCAGGACCAGCATAGTTTGACCTAGGCCCTGATGAGTAGTCTGAATAAATATAAAAGTATTAGCACTAGTGGCAACCACCTTCCAAGATGCTGTATTTCACTTAACTAGATTAAGAGCTAATCTTTGCCTTCTTTAAAAATGAATACTGTGTTTAAAAGGTGCTTAGTTAAGAAAGCAGTATTGCTTAAGTTTCCTAGAGGCATCAGTTGATATCTTGGCTTGCAGCCTGTCTGATACATATGTGAGAAGTCCCTGTGGAAGAAGCTGCTGTGGAAAGCAGCAATTGCTGTAGCAGGAGGCTGTGTGGAGTCACAAAATGCTTGAGGTTGGGAGGGACCTCTGGTGATGGTCCAGTCCAAACCCACTGCTCAAGCAGGGGCACCTGGAACAGCTTGCCCAGGACTGGCTTCAGGCTTCTTCTGGAGATCTCCAGGCATGGAGACTCCACAGCTCATGTGGATAACCTCTCTCAAGGCCATTGCCCTAGTCTCTCCCAGTGTTCAGACAGAACTTGCTGTGTTTCACTTGGTGCCTGTTGTGCCTTTCCAGCTGGTCGGGCCTGGCCTGTCCTGGTGCAGAGGGGTGTCAGCCCCTCAGCTGTGTGACTAAACATTGAAAGGTTTTTCTATACATCAAATGGTTCTGATGTTTTGCTGTGCATAGCTTACTGTAAGAAACTGAGAAGTATGAAGCTTTCAGTGTTAGATTTCTCTCCTATGGAAGATGAAGTTGCTTAATTCAGTCCTCTGAGGATAAATTTTTGTTACTTTCTGAATATAAAATGACCAAATTTTGAAAAGCAGACCTAAACTATGCTGTTTTTTTTCCTCAGATTCGTTACATTTCACAGACTCAAGGTTTGCCAGGGGAGCAGTTGTTAAGCATGGGAACGAAAACTGCAAGATTTTTCTGTAGAGAAACAGATACACCATATTCAAGTTGGAGATTAAAGGTAAACAATATAATATTTAGTGGAAATAGTAGAAAAAGAAAAAGCACTTTATGAATAGAGAAACCAGAGAAATGAGCTTCCCTCCCTCCAGTACTGCTTCCATATCTTCTGTGGATTGTCTATCCCTTTTTGTTATCCCTTCTGTTTCTTCCATTCCCTACCCCTTTCCTCAAAAATCCTATTCTGAGCTCCTTCCAATGTCCTTTAATTATGAGTTGACTTAAAGGGATGTTTCTTGGTGTCCAAGCTGTTTGGTTGCTGACTCGGATGTGTGTGCCAGGTAGTGAGAATTGAATTTGAATTAAGCCCTGCGTGTCAGTAAGGTACTGAGCAAGTCTTTCAAGTCACTTAGCTACATTTTTTTAAAGTGAGGTGAAAATGGGTATCATGGAGACCCAAACTGCTCTGTCAAATTTGGTTGAAACAGGCTTCTCATTTGAAAGATGCAAAGAGAAAAGGGATTCACATGATCACAGTGTGACTGTGTGCCTCATTTCCTTCAAATACTATACTAAAATAATCTTTGTTGGTTGAATGTTATAGTGCAGTGGAAGAACATCTGAAGCTGTATTTTTTATTGTCCACCCAATTTGTCTCATTTTAAGCAACATTATGATGTGCAAGGCATAACCAGAATTGAAATTTCCTTCCTATGTAAAGGGTTTTCATTTAAATTGCATTGTTTTTTGATGTTATTTCACAATACTTACAGTAGACTTGGGGAGTTAAACAGTTAGGGCTGGAAAAAACTTCTGAAATAGGAAACACTTGGCAAGCTCAAAGCACAAATGGTGTGACACTGGTTAGTAAATCTGCAAGGCACTCTGGGCTGAGTAACCCACCAGGGTTAAGGCGTGGGGTGGTGCTTTGGGGTTTCAGGTCATATAAGAATTCTGTAATTACATTGCTGTGATTATTATAGTTTTCTAACTTCCTAAGCAGCTGATTTTTGCTGTTTTTTACTTAGACTTGGCCTTCTGGTGTCAGAATTTAAATGAGTTCTGTATATTGTATTATATGCTAACAGCCCTTGTGATTTGCAAAGGCCGTTGACCTTCAGAAGGGGTAGTTCTCTCATATCAGACTGCACATTGCTTTTGGGAAAGAGAAGCTTGGATACACTCATTACTTCCAGGCTTTGTCCAACTTAAAGTTAGAAAGTTTTCTGTAAGTTTTTGTCAATTACCTTTCCCTGTGGTCTTAATTTGCATCTCACAACATGAACTTTTAAAACAAAGCTACCTACTGATTATCTTGGGAAGAAGGAAAGTGATATGTCTGCTCATAAATTACTTATCACTTTCATCTTTGTTCTTTAGGACTTTTGTTTCATATTTCGCTGTTACAAAGCTTGCACTAATTGTCATGTTTGTGAAGGAAAACAATAACATTAATGAAAAAGGAAACAGGAAAAGATGGAATACCAGACAATTTTTTGTTGGTTTTTGTGGAGGTGTGATATATTGCTGCTGTGTAAAATTAAGGGGCTGAAATTGTTCAAGTGTGTAATATACAAGTTTCATTAAAGAAACCTGTGATATATAATACAAGCATTGGAGGAGTTTCATCACACGTTTTGCTAGGCTTTCAACATTTCCTGCTTGGCTTGCGAACGATGTATTGTAATCCAGCATCGTAATAATTTAGGGGGAACCAAGAGGTGAAACTGTGGCTTTTGCATTTAGATTTAGAAAATGAAAGCAGTCAGCAAAAAAGCATGCGAAGAACCTGAATATGCAGTTGAAATACTTTAAAATTTTAAAACATGGCTTTTTAAACCAATAAATATTTAAAATTATTTTATGGTTAGAATTGTCTTTTGTTATCAACTTTTAAACTCAGCTTTCCTTTTCTTTTTTGAGACTTTGGAAGAGCATGAGGCAGAGACAGGTATGAAGTCCAAAGAGGCCCGAAAGTATATTTTCAACAGTTTGGATGATATAGTGCATGTGAGTATTAAAATATTCTTCCTCTGCAAAAAGGAATGATGAGAATGAAGGGTGAATTATTTTTTAAAATGTATAATTGAATTAAATACCTCTTTTGGATGCTTTTGGTAATATATGGATCATATCCATTCATATCTTTATACCTTATTCTCAGGAAAGTATCCAGCTATGTCTGTGTTTGTCTTTATACAGAGATTTTTTTTTGTTGTGTGTTAACTATACTGGTCAAGATGGAGTGATAGGATGATATTTATTTTTATGTATAATATACACTTTCTTTTCTCTTGTATCTAGCACTCTGGATAGAACAGGAACTCTGTATCCATCCTGCTAGGTTAACGTTATTATTATTGACAGCTTCTCTAGTTCTTTTTTCTTAATTGTATATCTTCTCTCTCTTTGGGTCTATAGCTCTCCAGTAAAGCAAATAAATTATCCTTCTACTTTTGTATCCTGAAGAGAGAATCAAATTTGTTTTCTAAAACTGGCATGCATATGTTTTTGAAAATGATTTTGAAGATTATCTCTAATATAAGAAAGACCATGAAAAGATTTCAACTCCCAATATTCCTTTTAATTTCTGAGCTCCAGACTGAGCAAATAAGCCCTGTTGGGGTTTTAGTGGGAGAGAGTATAGAAAAAGCAGAAAAAGAAAAGCAGAAAAACTAATAGGAAGAAATAACTTACCTATGTCTTCCTTCTGACTGCTTTGTTCCATGTCAGGTGAACATGGTGATGGATTTGGAAGGAAGTGACCTGTTGGCAGAGAAGGCAGATCGGAGAGAATTCGTCAGTCTGTTGAAGAAAATGTTGCTGATAGATGCTGATTTAAGAATCACTCCAGCTGAGACCCTGAACCATTCTTTTGTTACCATGAAGCACCTCCTTGATTTTCCTCATAGCACCCAGTATGTTATGCACAAACTGTGTTGTAGTTCCCTGCTGTAGTGATTCCCATGTGTAGTAGTATTGTGTTGCACTTGTATCGGGAAACGATCTTAGGCTGTTTGTATAATATCCTCATTAAGTATGTCTGATCAAGAAAATTGTCTGGATAGCTACATATGCGCTGTCTTGAAGTAACGTTTAGAGCACTGGCTTTTACAGTGGATTACATGTAATCTTAGGTTATAAAAATTCAGCACTGCAGAGACTTGGGCTTGCCTGTTGAAAGTATTAGCAATAGTAGCTCCTACCAGTATTTCAATGTCGATTTTGTACAATACAGGATCTATGAAGGAAAGTGTTTCATCCCTCTGGTTTCCTGTCTTATTTCCTTGTATACAGTCATTAGAGAAAATCGTTAGTTGAAAGGAGCAGGAAACAGTATTTTTTGTGCATACATTGAGAAGGTTTGACAGTAACATAATAGCAGTGTTCCTTTTTCTAATTCTATTTTTGCCTTTCTGTTAAACTAAGCTGTGGATTGTGAACTGTTTCTTTTTCTGTGAAATTGCTAGGTCCATTTAACAGGAAATTCTAATTAAAGCCACTTTTTATTTCTTATTTTTAATAGAGTGAAATCCTGTTTCCATATCATGGATGTTTGCAAATGTAGATCAAATTCCTATGACTTCAGTAACCGCAATAAAACATCACTTATGAGACCAGTTGCCTCAGGCAGTGCAGCTAATCTGACTGCAAGTTTCACCAAAATTGGCCCAGTAAGAAGTCAGGTAAAAATTATCATCTAAAAATATCACCTATTAACTCTGTTAATGCAACTTATCTAGCTAATTTCGTAACTGAAAAAAGTATGAGTTAGATGAGTTAGATCTTCTTTTACTCTGTTTTTGTTCTTCATGTTTTCTGAATTTTAAAAGTGGGCTCTTTAAGCTTTGAAATTAGAAGTCAGAACTGTCATAAAGCACTGCTGTAGGATAGTGACCTCCAGTGGCCACATGGGTTGTTTTATTTGAAGTGTACTTGAGCTTTTCATGCTAATAGTTTGTTTTAGCTTTTTGTTGCATTAGCAGGCGGTATGGTATGTGTGAGGGAAACTTGGAATATTCAGTTACAAATCATCCATGTTGCATCTGTTCCATTAGGCTTTAACTGCATCTGCCCACTCAGTTTTGCACCAAGGGATGCCCCTGCAGGCAGGAACTGCTCAGTTTGGCTGCAATGATGTTTTCCAGCAAGCATTGATTATCTGTCCTCCCACTATCCAAGGTATGTTCAGCTGAAAGTTACCCACCCTGAAACAGAGTGCTGCTGTGTGTTAATGATGCCACAGTGTGAAAATCAGTCATATACCATTCAGTTGTCAAAAATAGTCAGTAGGAGAGAGTAATGACTGTCTTATACGGTTTGTAATGGTGTTGTCAACAAAAGGGTGAAAATTTGTTATTTTCAAAATGTCAGTCTTCTGATTTTCTTCTGAACATTATGATACGTTGTGTCCTTCTGAAAGAAATCTGGAATTGGCCTCTGCAGAAAAAGTTTAAAGAATCTAGAGTTTCTTTTTTCATTAGTTTTTAATATTGTGCAGATAAAATGGGAGGGCCATGATAATAAAAATTGGGAAAAAGGCAAGAAGAGCATTTTTTCAAAACCTATGTCCTTTAGATAACCTAAGGATAAGGAAATCCAGTACTTTTTATAACTTTATCTGGATAATAAAGTTTTATTATTCTATTTGCTAATGGATGTTCGACAAAACATCTGGAAGCCTTTTAGGGCTTCATTTAAGGATGTAGCTGTCCTGTGTAAACATTGATTTTTTTTCCTTAAGTATCACACTTACTGTTCTTCAGTTATAATGAACTAGCATACCTAGATAGAGCTGCTACAGCTTTCTGACTGAAAAACATTTGACTGAATTTTGGCAACTTTGAATTGTGCTGTGAGGAGGAAGCGGTATCTTGGTTTGACTCTTCCTTATTATGAGGATAAAGTCTGATTTTAAGTATATAAGCTTATGTTTATAAACAGAAATAACTGGTTGATCAGAAAATGAAAGACTGAGGTTTTAAGGCTAGCAGAGAAGTATTTTCTTAGTGTAGAAAATGACCACATTGGAGATGTGCCTTTAGCAGTCCAAACGGTAATGGACTTGACATCTGTTCCCCTGATCGAATGCATCTACGTCATGCGACCACAGCTCTTAGTGTCTGAGGTGGCTCTTCATCCTCAGTGTGACCAACACAGCTCTTGTTCTTCTGCTTGGCTGATGAGATAGTCTGCTCAGAGGAGCATTTCTTACCATCACTAAGAAACCTATTGCATGTGGAGAAAGATGTAACTTATTTTTTGTTTACTGCGTTAGTTTTGCCCCTTTGAGGGTTTATTTTCTCTTTTTCTGGTAAGATCCAGACCTGTTGATCATCCCTTGAAAGGAGGGAGCTCGTAGGAAGTTGAGATTCCTCGGAAGGATTTTTAAACTTCCTCCAAGTTCTCCAGCATCAACTTGAAGTTATGGAAATCAACAAACAGTCTGAACAAAAAAAGATGTTTTATCTAAACAAAATGGCCACAAAGTCTTTATCTCCCTTGATAAAGACAGATGCCGCAGACTGCTTCACTAATGTTATTTGTGCTCTGCCTGGAGTTCAGAAACCCCTGAGAGCCGTGAATATTCCCTGTGCAGTGTCAGGGGCTCTGAGCCAAAGGTGTATCTTTAGATTTCCCTGAGCATATCTTGTACAGGTAAGTAATTTACTATTTAAATTGTATGTATGCTTTGCCCAATGGCATTCCATACTTAAAAACCCTACTGTTTTGATTATGTGCATTATATACAGATTAATAAGAATTTATAGAAGGAGTAACAGTTGAGTGATGAATTTACTACTTTAAGTTCTGATACAGCTTGAATTGAAAGAAATTTATAGGTTTCATCATGTAATTGAGAAATTGAGTTGCTGACAAGGAAGGAAAATGAGTTTGAATGGTTTCTGGCACTGCTTCAGCTTTTCTCTCCTTGGCTTCCCTGAAGAGCAGCACCCAAGTGCAAAGTCTGGCTGCTTCTGGCAGAGTTGAGATGTTGCTGTTCTGGTTACCTGTGTGGAGGGGGGAAAAAAATAGTGAGGAGTACTTCAAACTTCCAAGACTTTGACCAGGTGGTTAGAGCTTGGTGTGCTGGGCACAGTAGAAGTTTGTTAGACTAAACTAAAAAATGAAAGTATCCAAGATCAAATTTAAATGAAATCCACAGTAATATTTCCCAGACCTCATCCTCAAACACACACTGCCTAGTCCTCGACTAAGTGTTTTTTTCCTATTATACTCTTGCTGCTATATTTCAGCTATGCAACAGTTAGCCTTATTTTCATAAAGGAAGGGAGGATTATGGATTCCACTGAAGAGACTTGGTGATGCGGAGGATTTTGCATTGCTTCTCTCAAACAAGGGACATCCCTAGCAATAGCAGGCACTATGCCTGTGGTCTTGCCTGCTCTAAGAGCTAAGGAGGAAAGGTTTCAGCTACCTGGAAGTACAAGTGTGAAATGCATAAGGAGTCAGTGGTGAGAAGCTTTGAAATCCTGTTTCTTATTCTTGTCTGCTCTCTTGCAGATATTTTTTGTAACTTGTAATGAAGAGTAAAATGCTTAGCTCTGCAAAAGCTTCTGCAAAAATCATTCTGTTTTCTACTAGTTTGCTTTCAAGTTGTAGCAATTTGAAGTTATTTTTGAAGATGACAGCATCAAACACTTGTACAGATAACTGATAGCACAAAAATCCTCTAGGTGTTGCACTGACTTATTTTTCTTGAAAGGTTTAGATTATTGATGGGATTTAGACCATAATTGCATCAAGGAATGTTACTTAAATGTTATAAAATTATTCCTGCAGTTTGCATTTTGCTCAGAAATCGTGTGCGAGTAATGCTTTGCTTAAAGCTTGTGCACATGCTGATCTTCCTTCCAGGAATTCCTGCAAACCATGGCAAGCCCACGAGTTTCTCACTGAGGGTGGACAATGCGGTTCCATTGGTGACCCAGGCCCACGCAATTCAGCCGCTACAGATTCGAGCAGGAATCCTTTCTCAGGTTGGCTTTTTTAAACTAAAAGTCTAATCACTTAGTAAATATCTTAGAAGTGTGCCCTGTAATCAGGGCATATTATTGTTTGCTATTGCTGTTTTCTGTGCAGTTGCTCTTCTGTATTGTGCTGGATTACAAGCAGCTAATATAAATGCAGTCGTTTGCTGCATCATGAAACGTGCTCTGCTTCCCGACAGACATGGTCAAATCAGGCCCAGCAAATCCTGGTTCCTGCCTGGCAGCAAGTAGCACCGGTGGCAGCTCCTGCTACTTCTCTGGCCTCTGATGCTGTGGCTGGCCCACAAAGGCTTGGAGACTGGGGGTAAGTCTGTAGGGTGTAATTCCTTAATGGCTCTGATTTAGCAAACTCCAGGGATGCAATTGAAATGACTTGCTGTGTGAAACTTCCTTTATTTTTCCTCAGGAAGATGATTACCCAGGGCACCCATTACAATTCAGTGATGCCTCAGCCTCTTGTAACACATCAAATAACCTTGTCTGCCCCTCAGCCAATTAGTGTGGGCATTGCACATGTTGTCTGGCCTCAGCCTGCAGCTGCCAAGAGAAATAAACTGTGTCAGAACAGGTGGGTGAAATATTCCTGAAATTTGTAATGTTCAAAGGTGATAACCCCGTAAGTGCTGTTCAGTGGACAGGGGAATATTTTATAAAATTGATGTGTTGGCAACAGTTGTATTTAAATTGCCTTTTGGTAAGTAAGTTTGTGTTCCTAGCCTATTTTTTTCAATGCTATTTCAGCAGAACAAAACAGATGTGAGAATATGTTTCCATATAACAAGAGCACCTAATTCTCTTAGATTAATCTGTGTTTCTGGTCACAGCAAACTTTTTGCCTTTAGGAAGGCATAAGAATATATAGAAGTAGCTCTAATAATGTAACCTTGCTTGCATGAGGTTGTATCAGGTTTAGAGAACTAAAAATAAGGAGATATTATGTAATAAGGTTGCAATATGCCTTTATAGTCTTAAAAAGTCTTTCTATAACTGGTAGCCAAAACTATTCTTGCTGTTTGATAAAGAAATTATGCTTTGCCTGCTATACAAATTATTCAAAAATATAAAGGGTATTAAATGATGGGAAAGCACAGGTTGCAAGTGGTGATTTCAACAGACTTGTAGGGAGAATTTCATCCAAAGATTATGAGCTTTTGAATTCAGGGAGGTTGACTGGAGAATCTTTTCAGGAAATCTGTCAGGGAGTGGGGACATATTTTGGCATGGGGGAAAATCAAGCAGGATTTTCATTTCTTTTTTCCTGTGTTTAAAAAGAAAAAGTATTTTTAATATATCATACTCAAATTTGTTTCAATGTAGATTCTTCTTAGCATATTTCTAGAAAATATTTCTCAGAAATTCTCATATAAAAATATTTCTCAGAAAATATTTGCTGAGTATTTGCCATGGTGCTTATGTTCTGTGCTTTTCCTTTTTATTTGTTGGGCAAGTTGTTTACTTAGCCTACGTTGTCTTTCTGTTTGTACAGTTTCCAGGTCTGTTGGGCAAGATTCACTACATGTCAAACTGTCCTTTTTCTCCACAGAAGCAATGTGTTGCAGAATACCAATATCCAAAATGCAGCATTTATATCTCCAAAGATAATTAACCTGAAGGCTGTAAGGAGACTAAGCTGTATAGAAGCACAGGACAATCATCACTCAGAAGGTCGGGAAAGGAACTACTGCGAAGCGTCCGTCAGGCTGGACGCGGCGCCATCCCTGCCGAGCAAACCGCGCCAGGCCATCCTCATTGCTGGCTCGCCGAGCCCCGCCGTCAGCGTCATCACCATCAGCAGCGACACCGACGACGACGACCTGGGACGAGCACATGCGCTGAGAGAGTAAGGGCTCATGCCTGCTTTAACTCCGGAGCTGCATTCCTGGTCACCACTGCTCCCTTTCATCAAAGGGCTTCTTGCCCCGTTTCATTTCCAAGTTAATTCTGTGGCTGTGTTCTACTTGAAGTTCTTTTGAACTTCAGCCTCATTCAGGAATGTGTGTTAGGTATTTACAGCAGGAAACAAATGCTTTATATTCTTTCATAACAGATTTTATTAAAACAGAATGCTTTTAGATCCAGCATGACCTTTCCTTAATACTGGCATTCCCTATTAATATCTGAACATGAGTAGTATTAAAAAAAACAAAAACAAAAACAAAAACACACACTTAACTAACTTCATTGGTCTAGCAGTAACATAATAGATAATTCTATGTGTAAACAGGTAACAAATGTTACTTTAACTAAACTAAGAGGTAGATTTTCGAGTACAAAAGCAGGTGCTGGGGATGGTTCCCAAGAAGGGTTTTCTTTCACAAAGTTACCAGAAAAATATTTTTCAATAGAAAAGTTAATGTTTGAATTTTCCCTCCTAATGATCCTGAACTATAGAATACATTTTAAAACTGAACTTTGTCAAATGTTTAAAGGTTTGAAACTTTATTTGTGGTAAAAACTTGTTATTTCAGTATTCAATTTATTCATTTAATAAATTTCACAAAATAGATGGGAAGAAAAAAAACACACCTAGGAATTGGTAGCCTTCTAAATCTAAGGGGCCTTTTCTTATATTTGCCCCTTTTTTATTTCTTAATTAAATATAACACAGTGGTGTGTAGAAAAGGCAAGTGAATGACTATGCATGTTCACTCTTTATTTGTGGTAGGTGCAAAGGAAGCCTGGACTGTGAAGCCTGCCAGAACACACTGAATATTGACCGCGTGTGCTCTCTGAGCAGTCCTGATAGCACTCTGAGTACCAGCTCCTCGGGACAGTCTAGTCCATCCCCTTGCAAGAGATCCAACAGGTAAAATGTTGTGCTCGGTTCAGTTAAATACCACCACCCCCAAATTAACAGTTGATTCAACTAGTGATAGGAATCTTGATGTCTTTATCATGTTCCTGCCTGGTCACCAATAGCAGTAGGTGTGTTAATACTTTGTGATAGAGGCTGAATTGTGTATTAAAAATGTTATTGGCCTGTAATCAGGCCAGTGCAGTTCTTTATTCTTAACAGAGCCTTCCTACTTCCTTAAAAATGTAATTATGCTCAAAATAGAAATATGCTGTACGTAACACAAAGCAATGCTGCTAACTTAAATAACCCAAAGCAGGGTGCAACAGGTTGGAAGATACCAGAATGACCTTAACTTTTGCACCCTTTTGTTTTCCCACTATCTTGTATCCTGATCTTTAATGACTTGGATGTGATTTTTCCTCTACCAAATATAAGCTTCCTTGTTCAGTAATTAGTGTTCATGTGAACAGCTCTTGGAAGCTTCTAGTTTCATTGCTTGATGAAAGGCTTGATTTAGGTTTAAGCCTAAATTTGGGGGTCAGTATTCAAAATTTGCTCTTAAAAACACCTACGTGTTACTCTGAACTGTTTTATGGCATTTTTGCCACAGTACCTGAGCTTGACACTAATGTCTTGATCCGAGTAACACTTATGGACCTGTGGCAGGGTTAGAAGCTCCCACTGATTTGGGATGTTCTGGTTGAGGCAACTACAGGCTATTTTTTTTCCTCTTCATTCCCTGCTCCCCTTTAATATGCTGAAACTCAACTTGTAGTGGTGAGTACTTGGCACTTCTGTGAATCAGATTCTTAGATACTAGGTTGGATGCCCAGAAACTTTTGGAAACCAGCTTTTCTCACTGGTGAAAGTTTAGTTTAATATCACTTACCCGGTATTACATAAAAATCATACGACCTAAGGATAGAATCTGTTTTTTTACAAGCAATCTGCAGCTGTCATAACTGACCAGTTCTTTTATATTTATTCTGCAGTTCACTTCCTAATTTCTGTGGAATAGCTTCCTAGGTAGGAAAGAATAATTCAAACTTGGAGCAGTTTCACTGTGGAAAATGAGTATGACTGGCATCCTAGGGGGAAAAATGTTTTTTTAAAAAAGAATTAAGGTTCTATCACAGTGTATATTGGCAGGGAAGTAGAATGGGTAGGCTGTTTCAGCAGTTTTATTTAGTCTGAATTTTAGACAATGTGACTAATGGTCCATTTAATATGTATAGATACAGGATTCTGTGTTTAAATATCACTATTACATATATATAAATAAAATTGTGGAGTTTTTGGCATACTTTTGATATTCGGTTAGGGCTGCTTTCTCTGGGTCTAGTGAACAAGTCTCTGCAATACTGGCCCCAGAATGCCAGGTGTCGTGGGTTGCTCCTGCTTGTGTTGGTCAGGGCTGGAAAGGACTGCTCTAAGGAGGTGATGCAGGTAGATTGGGTAGTGCCAAGAACAGGAGCATGTTCAAAGTTTGCCCAAGCAAAGTTGGTGTGCAAAGCTGCATCTTCACCTTGTGTGGTTTTCTTTTGGTTGCATTTGTTTGGGTGGGTTTTCTCTGCTTGCTTACCTGATCCAACTCCTTCTGCAGACCCACAATTGCTAGATCCAGCAGTGTAAGTAGGTAACAGTGGTTGGGCAAAGGTCATGAGGGAGAACAGGACTAAGTGCAACACGAGACCAGACCTTCTGTGCAGTTTGTGATGCTGAGGGCTGTGGGCCGTGTGCACATCTTGCAGTTTAGCTTAGATTAATTTAGCTTAGATTGATTTCTCATTTCTGGGGGTTGGACTTGGTGTAGAAGATAATCCTAACCAAATTTCTGCCATTTCTGGGACTTTGGAGATGCTCAAACAAGAAGTTACCAGAATTATGTAGGTAGACAAAAACAGGTATTTCTTCCTAGTTGTCTTTTCAAGTGTTTGTCCTATCTGCCTGTGAAACAGGAAGATAAGTAACCAGAAGCATTTGAAAAAGGTTAAGCTCAAATGATTAAATACTGATAAACATCTAAGTAACAAGAAATGGGGTCCTAAACTGGGAAGTATCAGACAGTTTCCCTAGTTGACAAAGGACACTGAAGTCTGCCAAAAATATCTGAAGTTCAGGCAATATGATATCTGAATGTCTAAAAAGTGTGGGCAAGTTTATATGAAGGCCTGTTTGGTCTGAAGTGTGAGGAACTCCACTCCAGCCCCTTTAGAATATGACTTTGTCAGGAGTGGAGGAGAGTGCCTCAGGGCCTGGTTTTATTGGTGTCCAATTTAAATTATGTAATGTAATTACTAATTTGTATTTTATAGTTATAACTTTTGAATCAATTAACTTAGTGGTTGTAATGGCATCACAATTTGCTAGTTCAGCTATTCATAATTACCTTGGTGTTTTGACTAAGGCTTCTCTTTTCTGTGCTGGCCCTTATAGCTTCAATTAACTTCTCATAAAAAGCTAAATTTGGTAAATGTTTCTGCTTACACTGCTGTAGTTTATCTCCATGCTGTAAGGACCTGTTACATTAGCTGTATAATCAGTGTTTTCCAGAACACTTAAAACTTGCATATATGAATGAATTCATAAACCCTAAACAATATAGTTGTTAAACATGTAAATTGGGGTTTTGATATGTTTTTCTAGTCTGTGGGAGTTCTTAGTTCTTGTTACTATCCTGTCTAATCAGGAAACTTGTGAGCATCTCTGCTTAGTTGTTACCCCATATTGTCCTAATCAGGAAACTTGTGAGCATCTCTGTTTGCTTAGTCGTTACCCCATATTGTTGATTTGAGGCAACAGCACTTTGTTCACCTAAAGGAACTGTTTGTGATGTGTACATGGCACAGTCTCAGTTGAGAACTAGCTACATTACTGACTATTTCTTCCAGGATCTGTGATATACCTTTTAATTTTATATTAAATAATACTTAAAAGATTTTTATTCCTTGTAATAAACTTCATCATAAATTAGTTTCCTTAGCCAGGTTCTTTGCTACTTGCTATTTGGTTCTGGTTCCACTGATTTGATAGTCTTGCTTTTGGCAGTTCTTTTCTGTTTAGCTTGTACTTCCTTCTTATCCCTTTCTTCTTTTGATGTAACCGTGTGATTTACCATGGGAAACGCTGTTATTTAGAGCTGGTTTCTCCTTTTTCCACCTTGGTGGTTTTGGTAAAAGCAGTGGCAGAATGAATGAATTTGCCCTCCCTGAGCAGCATGCACTTCACAGACCACGAATGCCAAAATTGGCACTGTATGGAAGCAGGGCTTCGTTTGCTTCCTTAATCTAAAATCTATCGGAAGATTATTTAAAGAGAATCTGTAAAAGCTTTGTATGTGCAGTACTCTCAAGGAATGTAAGAACGCTCATTTTTCACTAGGTAAGATCATGTTTTGGTTTAGGAAAATACAAAACTATCTTCAACCTTTTACTCTGAAAATCTAGGTTTCAGGTAGATTGCAAATATGTTATTAGAGAAAAAAAGTGCAATCTGCATGTCCAAATCTTTCTGCAATATTATTTCTGTCTTTCTCTGAATAATTAGTGGGTAGAATAAGTTTGAAGTTTTAGCTGCCATCTTGACTATGTATGTTTGTGTAAGTAAAATTGCCTGAGTTGTTTTACTTCTCTAAGTTATGTGGTGTTTTACCAAAAATGCCTCTCTTACAAAAATGCATTTGTTTGTGATACTTCTGTGTTTTGATAGCATGTCAGATGATGAACAGGAAAGTGGATGTGATACAGTAGATGGTTCCCCAACTTCGGACTCTTCAGGACATGACAGCCCATTTGTGGAAAATGGCTTTGTAGCTGCGACCAATAAAAATACAGACTCAAGAACATCAGTTAACTCTGAAACCAAATCTGCCGTTTGCACAGTGGTGGTGCCACCAATGACACTTGAAAACAGGTTACACCTTGACGAACAGATGGTGAATACAGGTAAGCTAGTCCAGATGGGTGGTTCTTTCTGTAACAATAGACAAAAATAGAAATCTGAATAGTGTATTCAATAACAATAGGTATGAAGATTTCAATTTACATATGTATCTGCTGAGCTATAAGTTAACACTTTGTGTTGTAGTTTTTAGACTTATTTCATTATCTGGCTATTTTTCACTGTGTAAATTCCATCTGATAGTAGGTGAAGCAAATAGTTTGGTCTTTGGATAGCTAGAAGAGATGAATGATCCAAAATGATGAATGGCTTTTTTCATTTATATTTTGGAAGATACTATGTGCCAGCCACTGAAAAAAGGTCCGTCTGTCCTGGGAAGGATAAACCAGTCTTCTATCATAGGAAACCGTCAACAGAAATTGACATCAGCATTCCATCAGCAACACATAAACTTTAGTCAGGTATGTGTAATTATTTATATCTAAGAAATATTACTACTGTCTTGGTTCCAAATGTGCTGAACACTCACAATTTTAATTGGTGTAAATGGCAACTGCAGGTTCTCAACAACTTGATTGCAGACGTGTTCAAAACTTCAAAAGTGGACTTCAGTTTATTGGGCAAGTCATATGTATCTTTTGTTTTTTGACATTTCCTTATAGCAGCTGACTGTTTTGTTTAAAAAAATAGAAAAAAGTCCTGAAAAAAAAAACTATAACCAACACTAAATAGAAGTACAAGGCAAAATAAAATAAATGCTAGTGTTTTTTCCCTATACCCAAATGCTAAAATGCATAATGTGTCTACTTAGAAGTTGGGGCTATATTTCATTCTTTTTTGGCTAGTGGCGCGGAGTCAAAATTGCACAAATATTGCACAAAAATTGTCCTAATCTGAGAGCATCTCGAAATGTACTCTTAATGTGCCCACCTTGGTCTTGCCCTTCCTGATGGATAAGGAAGTTGGGAAGCGGTTGTGATTATATCCATTGGGAGAGGGCACATAAAGCTAATTGAAAATGTAAATGTAGCAAAAGGAAATGTAGCAAATGTATCTGCTGTGGCTGAGAACTGAAGTTGGCATGTGGCATTGGTTAGGTTAAAGTCCCTTTTAAATTAATCAGCTTTGCGCTGTGGCTGTGTTAAGTATCCAGGGCTGCAGTTAATAATAGTACCTGGACATGTAGCCCTTGCAGAGTAACTGTGAATCTTGTTTGCAAGTTAAATATTAAATGCAAGTGTGGCTATTCAGTAACAGCTTGAATCATTTAGATTGAAAGAAACATTTTGGTGGGTGACAATTTGTCCTTTTGCTTGATTGTGTTAGAAGGATTGATTTAATTTCGTTATAAAGCTTCATATGATCAGCATAACATTAATTTTAATCACTTCAAGGACTGCAGCTCCTCATCCTCTTGGCAGAAAGTGGAACCTTATTTTCATTAGAAAAATTATGCTGATCCTTCTTTCTGCAGTAGATGCCCTAGTGGTTTAAACTGATGTTTAATGGGAGTAATTGATTTTTTAGTCTGTCTTTTTAAACTGTTAGTGATTATCACACCTCTCTGTGATCATAACCCTAGACTTTTTTGCCTAGTTGTTTCAGATATTTTTCAATCCGTTTATTTTTTCTGTTCTCCTCTAAAATTTCTCTCCTGTTTGTCCTCTTTGTGCCTCATTATGGTGCCCAAACTGAATGCAGCACTTCCAATTGATGCCAAGCCAGTGCTGAGTAGAGTGGAATAAGCACCTTGCTCATGTGATACATGGTATTTCTGTTAAAACAGCCCAGCATGGCATTTTATCCCTATTTTCTTATTTGTGTTTGTTTTTTTTGCAAGAGCATTAAAATAACTTGTGTTCTCTTTGCCTTCTTTTATTGTCAAGATTTCCTGTCTGTGCTACTACCTAAATAGCTACTTATTTTTAATTTAAGCCTTTATTTTTTCCTCTCTTTGGTTTTGATTAGTTTTAGTGCGTTACTCCAGTTTTCACCTGCTTCAGCGCGTTGCAGTGTTAACGGCCGGCCCTTTCTGTGTGTGCGCAGGTTCAGCCCCTGGGCTCGGCGCCGCCGGAGTGGAACGGGCCGGCCCTCCTGCCCTACGCTGCGGCGGCCCCGCTCAGCACTGCTGCGCCCGTCGCCCACCTCCTCGCCTCGCCGTGCGCCTCCAGGCCCTTGCTGCAGCCTCCTGCCTACAGCATGTCCCACCCCAGCGCTCTAGTCCACCAGGTTCCTGTTGGCATAAATCCCCGTCTCCTGCCTTCCCCCACCATCCATCAGACTCAGTACAAACCGGTCTTTCCACCGCACTCGTACATCGCAGCATCGCCTGCTTACACGGCGTTTCCGCTGAGTCCCACCAAGCTCAGCCAGTACCCGTTTCTGTGAGAACTCGAGTTCAGTGGGTGAGGAAGCTCAATCACGCAGAAGGTTGCTTTGAGAAGAAACATGGTATTTATTAAACATTAGCCATGGCACAACAGGAGAATTATTTTTTTTGAATCATGTAGACTTGGGTGCAATTTAAACAACTCTGAGCTTTAAAGAAAAAACTCACTTTTAATGTGTTTTGCACATTTGGTATAACTTGTCTTTGGTCATGTTATCTTCTTATATAGTAACTTTAGACAGGTGACTTATGGGAGCAGAAATCTGAATTTGCTCCTACTATTTTTTATAAAATTGCCTTCTAACTAGTGCAAGACACGTCTACATTTGGGAAGCCATTCAGTGTACAGAACTAGAGCAACAGATGCACATCTGTCAGCAGTACAGTGTAGAAGTAAATTGTTTGTATTGCGTATCTTGGTGTTTAAATGTTGAGTCACTTATCTAAGAGTTGAGCTGTTGTTCTTCACATTGCATGTGTCTTTTGCATGGGCAAAAAAAGAGAAAGAAAAAGCCTAAACATTGCTCTTAAATGTTGTTGTCCTAATAATCTCAGCTGCATTGTAAACTGTTTCCACACATAGTGCCTTAAATATTTGAGGTTGTTAACGTTATTACTTATATATAAATGTTGAGGACTGCAGCACTTAAATTCAGATCTGCTGTTTTTTTGGGTAGAGTAATGCTCATTTTGGGTTTTGAGTGGTATATGATTTTTAGTATTGGGTGTTTTTTTCCTTATCAGGAAGGCGGCATGTTTTGCTCTAGCTGAGTTTTCCTGTCTTTTTTTCCCCAGCCAGAATGATCTAGCTTCAAGAAAAGACCTCAGTAGTGCTTAAGAAGAGTTGATTCAGTAGCTATTGAGTAGTGACACACAACACAGTATTTCATATGGTTTAAATGGAACTGCAATACAATCCAAGTAGTTTATTTTCAAAGTGCTTGTCTAATTGGATATAATAAAATGTTTAGAGGTGCAGTAGGCATGACTTTGACTAGCTAACGAAAGGAAAAGCCAAGTGCTTGTTGATTCATGGTGTGGTTTCATCTTAGCTTGAGCAAACCATGCAGTATTTAATAAATAGTAGCAGGATATTTACTATTGAAGCTTGAAAAGATGTGAGTTCTTTGTGTGCAATCTTTCTTTTATGCATGGGAGAGATTTTAGTCTTTTTACATAATAGTATTTGTTTTAGCCTGTTGTGGGTGTTTGCTTATTTAATACATTCCGTCAGGGACATAAATTACATGCTTTCTGCGTTATTTTTTTTCCTTAGGAAGTGTGTCTTTTTGTTGAAATGAAGTTGCTTTTGCAGCACCAAAGACTTAATCATCCATTTCCTATAAAAGGTAGCTACTTTTTTCATAGACCTCAAGTATACTCTAGTGTAGAGATGGGATTTAAAGAAGGTGTTAAACTGAGGCTGTGTGTTAGCTTATGGGCAAGTAATAAATTGTATCATTTATCTTGAATGTATCATAGATAAGCTGCTATATAATGATTGCCACTTCAGATAGCTGTGAAATTAGGTGATTAACTAGTTCTTTCTTAGCCTTCTAATTTCTGTACAAGTCTAATACATGAAATAGAAATCAGGTTTTGATTTTTTAAATTTTGTTTTCATGTTTGGAGTGTCGTAACTATTATATTGTAAATGATGGAAGATGATTGCATATGTTTTTTGGGTGTGTTATTTGCATCAGTATTTTATCTCCATTAACTCTGAGCTCATCACTGCATACAAGTGGATGTATCGATGTAACTTAATTTTTTTATGTTTTCATATTGGCATTGTGTAGACACTTAAACTGCATCTTGCAGCCTTGACTTAACTTTTTTTTAAAAAAAAAAATCTGGAACATAATCTTTGCAATGTTGACTGGAATAAGAGTGCAAAGCATTTGAGTTTAACTCTGTCAGCTAATAACTGGTAAACTTTTTCTTTACTCCACTAACACAAGCAGTGTTTTATTTAATGAATGTCTGAAAGAAATGTGCCTACATTTGATTTAGTTTTTAAGTAACAACTAAAATATAACAGTATTAGATCATAAACAGTACCAGCAGTACATTTTTAATCACACTGAAAATTAAAAAATCTTAACTTTTCCCAAAAGTTTCAGTGTTTTTAGTAATCAACTCTATGCATTTTGTACAAGTATAAATGTGTGTATATAAAATATACATTAGAAAACTAGGAGTATCCTGATTAATTTGAAATCCTGTCAAAACATACATGAAGCCTAAGTATATGGAGTCAAGAAAATGCTCAAATTGGATATCCACCTTATCACTTCAAACTTCTACTGTATGGTCCAACAGATTGTTTTCTGTTCACTCCTTTGCGTTGGGAATTGATTTTTGGGTACTCACTCCATTGCAGGCAATGGACACGCCAAGAATCACCAGTGCAAATGGAGTAAATGAATTTTGTATTGTCATAAATACTGCATTTTCTGTGGGGCCATGGGGATCTTCATCCATCTAATGTATTTACTGTGCTTTCTTTTTACTGTGCTTAAGGTATTAAGCTAAATGTGCTTCTTAAATTGACACGATTATCTGTATATCACAAGAGTATCCTATCACATGCAGAAAAAGTTGCTGTAAATGGTGCCCCCGATTAGATTTGCTGCTCTGCCTGTATTGTAATTTTAAAAATGTTTCATTCATTGCAATGCAAACATTTGGGATTCTGCCCCATCTTAAATTCAGAATAATGGACGTTTTTTCCCCACTCCTGCCACATGTCCTGAGGGAAAGGACATGAGTGATGGCAAAGGTCCCAGGGCTGCCTGCAGCAGAAGGCCCTAGGGGAGAAGGCCTTTTCTGGGGAGGTGAGGAATAAAGTCATCTGCAGAGAAGCCTTTATACATGCTCTTAATTCCTTTTTTAAATAAAACACTGCATGACTACAGAAATGCATATATGCATATTACTTTAATTTGCAAGGTTTTATATGAATTTTGTGTTCATTTTTAATTTTACTTCAGGGTGTTTTATTGGTCAAATATGCTACTGTATTAACTTTTTTGTTTTAATTTTAAAATCTCCTTTTTACTGCTTATTAATTTGGTTTGTGTTAAGTAAAAGTTAAATCACACTGCAAGCTGTAGGAAGATTTGTTCTAGAAATACCCGGTGATATAGACTTGATTAATAAGTTTGAACTGTTACTGTTTAACAATTTGTAGACTTGTGGCTTTCTTTTTTCTTTTTTTTTTTTTTTTTTTTTTTTTTTTTTTGCTTTGGATTTCTATGCTACACTAGTTTGCCATGTAGCAATTGCACTGTGCAATATTACAATATGAGGACTGGGAAAATTTTTTATGGATGTAATGTCTCTTACAGTTTGCGATAGTATTTCTTTCTAGTTCTCAGTGATTTAAATGTGACCAAGCCTTCTGTACTTTGTCACAAAAAGCGGGTTTTCCAGGTGACTATTTTGGTGAGTGTCAAAATAAGAATTTATGGTGTATTACTGTCGAGATTCACTTTGAATTAAAATATATATTGCAGCAGTTGGCTTTTTGGTGACTCTTATTTTTGTTATGTCAAATCAAGGCTAGATTAAGTTTGTGTGGGGGGTTCTGGGTCTCAGAATCTGATGTAATCATTGAAAAAGCTTCTCTTCATGTTGAAAATCGAAGTTTCACTAACTTCAAGGGTTGGATAGCAGAACATTAGAAATCAGCCTTTAGCATAACCAAACCTGTAGCTTCCTTGTCCTAAATGTCTCCCTTTTGCAACCTCAGGCAAAGACTACCTGGTCCAGATAGGAGCAGAGACCTTGTGGCCCCTTGCACCAAGCGCAGGGTACAGGGCTCCTGGTGCTGCAGATGGCCGAGTGGCCCCATGTGTCGCTGCCTCCACATGGCCCGGCTGGGGTTGACTTTGCTCCTGCAGAGGACGTGTTTGCTGCCAAGGGCTACAGAGTTTACCCAAATCCACGGGTTTAAAGCTGTCAAGAAGCAGCATAGGGAGTCCGAGTATTTGCAAAGCAGCATCATTTCTGTGATTGAAACTACAGCTAAGGTATGGTTGTAAAGGAAATGTATGACATTGAGCTGCTAGTGTAATATACTTTGATAACCAAGGGTCTCAGGAAGCTTTGCTAGGTGGAAGGCATCACTATTAACTCGTCTTCTACAGGTGTTTTTTCTTCTGTGCAAGTGGGTCATGCCATCTGCAGAATTACCCCTTGGAATATATGAGAACGGTTTCTCCAGACATCTCTAATGTACCTTTTTTTTTTTTCTTTCCTTTTACACCTTTATTACTTTTCATTCTTTGCATTTAGGCTTATCTGTGTTGACTTTTAAATGCATGTTGCTAGTAATATCTGTATCTTGCATTTCCCGTAGAAAATAGTGCCAGTATCTTGATGTATTTTCATAATCTTGGTTTTTAGAAGCAACTAGTAAGCAAGAAAAGGCTGCCTGGGGTTGCCTTAGGGAGTGTGGTGAAACCCTTTCCAGTCTTGCTTTCCACTAATAATAATGTCAAGTGACCCCTATGTTCCTTTACATCCTTTTTGGTACCCAAGTTTTATTCCTTGTTTCTACCAAGATCACACAGGTGTCTGCAACCTCCTGATCTGCACAGTCCATGAAAATGTGAATTTTTGTCTCATTGTGGGTGTTTTATTGTTAGGTTGCACAGAATAATATTCTTCAACTAGAGCCATGCTGGTCACATAGGTGAAATAATCAACGAAATAAAGATGCTTAGTCAGTACAAGATTTTTTACTGGCATGAGACAGCTTTGATTCTTACTCAGCACAAGATCCCTTCTGGGAGGGGGATGTGTGTATACATATATGTGTGTGTGTGTGTGTGTGTATATATATATATATATATATATATAGGCCGCTTGCCAGGGTGAAGAATTTCACAGCCAGGGGTTGCTGGTTTACAAATAGATGCTCTCCACTTCCCTGCTCCAGTTGGGTAAGGGAGTAATGGGCACCATGTGTGCTGCTTGCAAAGAAGTCCCTGCAGCCTGTGCAAAGCCCACCAGGACAGTTGCTAGGAAAACAAATACTAGTGCAGAGGAGGGATGCACAAATGTCCTCCCGTGAGCTGGAAATAATCATAAATGAAGATCTGGAAAGGTTGGTTTAGGAAGTAGCTAACTACAGGTAGGGAAAAATGACTAGTTTTATCAACTATCTACTCATTTTTCTGGCATTATAGGTCTTTTTAATTTTTGGGACTAACATCTGTTACAGATTTATGATTTAATTGGTATTATATAATGTATAATAAAGATTAGTTTTTCCCCTGGTCTAGCTTTTAATCACAACTTATTGTTGCATCTATTATAAAGATTAGTTATGACAAACTAGGAGGAAAAAAAACCCCACAAATGCTTTAGTGCTTTTTGCAGTTTATAAAAGGCACCACGAGAGGGCCCTGCTTGAAATGCTGGCCCTCAGGAGCGTGGCCTGCTCAGTAAGCTTTCCCCTACCTCTTGGTGTAAAAAACTGCCATCTTCTCTTGGTTACCAGTTAGTGGTAGGAGTCACCAGCTGGTAGCTAATTTTGCGTGTTGAGAATTAATGATTTGAGGAGAAAGGGAGTAAAACCACACACGGAGGGACCTATGGAGCAGGCGTAGCATTCAGAACGTAGTAAGCTCCATCCGAGGGTAGCTGTAGGTAAACAGTGGTCACTTTACCTCAATGTTGATCTGTAAGAATTTATCCAAGAGCTGACCTGCCCCTTTCCCCCTCACAAACGACTCCCTGGAGCCACCCTTGCTGCTTCCCCCCTACCCTCCCTGCTTCTTGGCTGCACTCGTGATTGCTCTTGGTTGACCCCAAGAGCTCTTGAGGCACAACTGCTTGAAAACAAGTTGTCCAGGTCTCTGAAGGGCAGGTGCTGTAGTCTTTCCCCTCACTCCAGCACTGGTTGCAGTGACTGCTGTTGAGGCAGCTCTTCACAGGGGCTGTGGCAGCCCCTGGCCTGATGAGATTCACTGATGCTCTCGGGCTGGGCTGAGGAAGCTTTGAGCGGGCTGTGATCTCTGTGAGTAACGCCCTGTCCTGGGCTGCCCTCATCCCTCATCGCTCCCGCTGCCCCCTCGCGCCTAACGGCCATTCCCGCCCAACGGCCGCTC